GCGCGCAAAGACGGTGCCAGCTCCTCCATCCTAGAACGGTGAGGGGAGCTCGTGGCCGTAGCTCACCTCGGCACATGACCGGATATAAACCCAGCGGCCATGCGACTCTGTTCACCTCCATCCCGCGAATTTTGCAAGTTATGCAGGATCTGAGCCCTTTCTTCCTGTATGGTTTTGCTAAACCCTAAACCCCAACAGCATGTATGGAGGAATCCGCAGAGGCGTGCAGCAGCCTCGTCTTTGAATCCACGAGCAAAAAGCGTCGCAAGACCGCGACCGCCTTCCCAACCCCAAGCCCGCGAATCCTAAACTCCTTCTCTTCGGCTCGAGAGCCCTAGAGCCCCAGACCGCCAGCGGACCGTGGAAGTGACAGCTGCGCAGGCTCCGATGTCGGGGCTTACTGCGGAGGCCACGGCTGGGCAGAAGGGGTCGACGATGCTTCGGTGGTTTAAGGGTACTTAGGGGGTGCAGGGATTTTGGGAAGTTTAGGGGCATGGGGTTTAGGGGTTCAGGGGTTCAGGGGTTTAGGGGTTGGGACCAGTCAGGCTCCAAGGCGTAGGAATCCACTGCGAGGAACTCGTTTCGAAGGTGCCCAGAGACTCCAAAATTCAGGAGCCCCTATTGTAATTTACAAGAATCCAGGAAGCTCAGTTTTTTTTGAAGGGTTTAGGAAGTTTCAACGGGCCTGGATCTAAAACCCCCCCCGCAAAGTGTGGACAAGGCGGGGGGAGCATCACACCTCCATGACCCAGCGAAAGCCTCCGCAACACGTTGCTGCATCGAGCTTCTGGGGATCCGATACTTACAAGAGGTCCGTATAGGGTTGGAGATGCGGGATCAGGGTTTAGGGTTCTTTAGGGTTCAGGTGTTCCGGAGCACTCTCAGCCGCCCGCGCCCAAGCACGACACGCGCGTCCGACGCTCCGACACCCTCAGCTCGAGAGCCCCTCTGAGCCCCTCCTAAAATCCTTGAAATCGGAGTCACAGGCTTCCGGCTTCGAAGTCCTTGGGATTGCCAATCCCTGCAGAGGCCACGGTCAAGTTTGAGTCCGAGCAGGGTTTCGGGACCTCCAAACCCTAATCTTGGCCTTAACTCCTAAGAGACAATAGGGTTCAGGGTTTCGAGGCTTTGAGATCCTTGAGACCCTAAGCTTCAAGCTTGAAGGTGTAGGATTTCCAGGCTTGGGCCTCGTCTCAGGTCAAGGGATTGCGGGCTGAGGATCTGCGGTTTTGGACTGGGATGGCGCAGGTACCGTTCGGACGGATTTGGCTTTTGTCGGTAGAGTCAGGGCTGTGCATTCGGGGTTTAGATTCGGAGCGGGGGGGTGGGGGGGGGCTTCTAAGCCTCAAGATGTAGAAATCGCAGATAAGAGTCTCGTCTAGAATGTACCCAAACTCCAACAGCCAGGACTTATGAGTCTTTGCATGAGGACCTCTACTACAATTTCAGGAACATTCGGAACATTCAGGTGGCAGCGTGAATGGATGCTTGGAGTGCGGTGGAATTAGGGGTTGAAAGCACCTAGGAAGGCTTTCAGCGACCCGAACCCCGGCTAAACCCTAACTGAACCCAACTACAAAACGGACCGCATGCTGGAAAAAAACCAGAGAAGGGCTCCGCAACTCGTTGCTTCATCGAGCCTCCGGGGCCAATGCTTACGCAGGTTTTGCAGGGTTTACGGTACTTGCAGGATCATGGAGCTTAGCAAGTAAAGGTTACAAGTACCCGTTGTAAGTAATTATAAATTCTCAGTACAGTTCCCTTAGTGTTTGTCACCCTAGTAGCTACGTCCCGTGATCCTTTAAGTAGGGTGTTGGGATTGTGGTTTGAGGGCTTTGGGCGGTTCCTGCCTTTGCTCGGGTTTCAGGCCTTTGACGGCTTAGTGCTTTAGGGTCTTGGGG